CTATTAAAACAATATATATTATATTTAAATAGGTTTATTTTGTCAATTTCAACTATGAAAACCTCATAAACATTTATTTTATTAGTTTTAATTCCACCCAGCAACATGCGATCAGCTGTTTTTCTCACTTGCAAGTTCTTACTAGCAAAAATTTATCCAGTAAAAACTAGCAACTTCTCCTCAGAAAAAAATGTAAATTTTCGCTCTCAATTTCCCCTTTCTTACAATTTTTTTGGGTACAAGAAAACCAAAACGTGATAGTTAGTACAAACTGGTACAAGAACGCTTCTAATTTCTTTCGTTTAGCACATGAACCAAAAATACAAGATCACGCCTTCTTCTTAGTAGCCCGTTATAATCGCATTTAGGAAAAAAGTTAGGCGACTTTGACATTGGCTTTGTTTCTTTTCTTTTCTAGCAGATAATTATCAGGAAGAAGAAGAATGAGAAAATTAAAAGAATTACGCTCAAAGAGAGCGAAATAACGAAAAAGTAAAGAAACGCAAAACTCGCAGAAACTAGCAAGTAATCAGCTGATCGGTGTATTTGACTATTGAAAATATTTGGCGCGAATTTTCGTTTGTCCATTTTAACAGCTGCTAGTTTCTACTAGTAAAAATTTTACTAGCAGAAATTAGCAGGATAACCAAAAAAAGAAGAGCGTAAGGTCGAGAGAGAGAGCTGCTAGTTTCTGCTAGTTTGTGATTATTATCTGTTAAGAAACAAAGCTATTAGCCGTTTTTTTACATTTGTTCGTTGCTTACAATTTGGTGGTGGCTTTTTACTGGAATTTTCTTCATTTTCGCTTGGGACAACGTGTGTACACATAAGGTAAAGAATAATTTAACACAACGACATGATTTATATTGTAATTTATTGCAGTCATATGAAACAGACGTTCCTTACAGACTAGAGATAAAAATTTAGCTACTTAGATGATACGTGTAAAACATAAAGCACTCTACAGGTTCGAGATCAAAGATAAAATAAATAAACTTTTTGGAAGAGAGAAATCCAGTTCGATAGAATTCGAGATCGTGTTGAATTCATTTAAAGCTCTTGAAATAGGAGCATTTCTGGCATACTCCGTTTTACAATTTTCTCCATAAAACGGCAGAGGATTGCGGAGATTCCTTAGAGGAACATTGAAGTTGACCTGCTCTAGGAGCGTAGGGCAATCGATCACACCATTTATTAAGTTAAAGGTAAAAGTTGAGATAGCAAAGATCTTCTGGCTTCCAGAGATTTAAGGGCCATTCACATAAGACTTTTCTCGTTTTGCTTGACAGTTCAAACTTTGACAACAAAAAGTGAAACGCAGAAGGTATGCTACAATAAACGCTTTGCCAGATTTTGCGTTCTCCTTTTTCTCCATATTTTTTATCTTTAAAATAGATAGCAATATAATAATATGCATTAATAGCAATAATAATTCCTATTTACCCTATTCTTGTTATTAAATGCAAATGCAAGCGCACGAGAAAAGATACATATAGACAGCTGATTGCCAAAGCGGGCAAAAGTTGAGAGTTTCCTAAGATTTTGCTTCGTTTTGCTTTGCTTTGCTTCAAACGTTCTTTATGTGAGCATACTCATGCATATGCCTACATCGATCTTATATGTCAAAGCAAAGAACTATCAAGCAAAGCGAAGAAAGTTGTATGTGAATCAGCCTTTAAGGTCTATTAATAGCAAACGAGACTTATACGATGGAGTAGGCTCGCTGAAGTTAAGATTTCTGAGGGCAAATTTAAGAAAAACCTTTTGAACCCTTTCAATCCTATTAATTAGGTTTGAGTGGTATGGCCTCCAGATAAAAGAAGCATATTCTAACTTAGAACGAACAAAAGATGTGTATAACAATTTAAGTGCCGGTTCCTCAATGTCTGGTTAACACTAATCTGCGGTTAAACATCTGCATATAACAGGGAGTCGGTAACGTCGATAACGATGTTTAACCGCAGATTAGTGTTAACCAGACGTTGAGTAACCGGCCCCAAGTGTATAGGGGTCAGAGAACATTGAGCTCTGACGCCTGAGAAAACCAAGTGCAGCGTAAGATTTAGAAATGATGTGACTGATATGACTGTTAAAAGACCAATTAGATCTGAAAATTACACCAAGTTCTTTGATTTCTTGAACTTTGAAAACATTTTTTAAAATTCAGTGAAAGGCGAGAGACACCCGCTGTGTAGAATATTAATCTCGGACTGAAGTCTAAAAGTGTGTTTGCATTGTTGAACTTTGCTTTCAACATTTGCGTTCAACTCAGCGCAGGGTTGCACGAAAATAAAGTTGAATGGCTAAAAATATCAAAATATGAAAAAATATCAAAATATTCGCCATAAAAAGGTGTTTGCATTGTTCTACTTTGCATTCAACTTTTGGTTGAATGGCCTTTCAACTAATCGCTTTCAACAAAGTTGGTCGCCAGCCAACATTTAGCCATTCAACTTTTTTTTCGTGCAACCCTGCGTTGAGTTGAACGCAATTGTTGAACGCAAAGTTGAATAATGCAAACACTGCTTAAGCGCATCATGCGAATTTTCAATCACAGCAAAAATTTTTAAATCGTCAGCATACAGAGTTTGTAGAATAAAAATGGTTATTCATGCGTTCAACAATTACGCGATTTTTTTTTTGTTCTCTTCGTTGTTTACTTCTCACAACAAAGATGGCGTCGAGATTTCAACAGCTGGAAAATAACTTTTTTCTTCCTTTCCGGAAGGCGTGATCTTATGTCTTTCGTTCATGGTTTAGCATGTATAGGAATGGACATTTTGGGGGTAACATCGATACATTGATGTTGCGATGCATCGGCGAAAAGAACGTCGAGGCTAAAATACATCGCCAGAGAAACATCGATATATCGATGGTGTGTGATGTTTTACAATTTGTTAAAATCTAGTTAAATTATAGTAAAATTAAATGATTTAACAATCATGAATATATTTTACTGTATTTCCATATCCTTGCTATAAATAAAATAAAAATGCATACCATCCTAGGCCCGATCTTCTTGAAATTGTAAAGGTGGTCGGATCTGTTTTAATGGTTAGGTAATTAGCATTCTCAATACCGAAAGCTAAACTCGAAACTTCTTAAAGCTGCCCCAAAAATTAATAATACCTTAATTTCTTTCTTTTGGGGTTTTGGGTAGGTTTGCTGGTTTTCACCACCGCCAGGTTACTCCCCTGCTTTTAATATACGTCTCTTTGTATGTTATATTCCATTGATGTATCCAATCGTCGCTACACTGATACACGATGGTAATACCGCTGAGGGCCAGAATCACGTGAAAAAGTTTCTGCTTATATATGTATCATACGTCTTATTCCTTTCTATTCTTTGTCAATTATATCAAATTAAAAAGTGTATGGTGATTTAATGGTCCACAAGTAAACAGGTTATTCCTCTAATTGTTGCTTATGTGTCAGAATTTGATATTCAGATTAAAATTTAAATGACTGGTAACTAAAACCTCATTTTGCCAGGTTATTCCTCCAATGGTAAATTGTTTGGACAATTTTTGCTCTTAAAATTAAGAAAATTATGTCGAGCAAAAATAAAACTACTCAAAAACGCGAATATGTGGTAGATTTCAGACCTTGTGTGGTAGATGTGTTAGATGCTCAAAATAGTGGCAGATCTACCACAATATGGTAGAACTCCGATCACTGCCTTCCAATTACCTTCCGAATTACGTAATTGGCCATACAAAATTTTGAGAGCGACTACCTCATTTGTAGGTAATTCAGATCGAATTACCATGCGAATGACGAACGAATCGGTTCCTTTTCTAATATTTATCGGAAATATATCGAAGTTTTCACCGCCCTGGTCCCATTCACTGGCACTTTTTCTAGTTATAGAATAATATTAATAAAATATTCTCAATATAAATTAAAATTGTTGACAATAACTTAAATTTTAGCTCCATCTTCGATATTTGCAGTACACAAAAATAATAATAAATAGCGAAGAACAAGAACTAGAGTTGCCAAACGAATTAATAAAGTGTGGCGTGGAAACAAGGCAATTCACGAATTACTTTGCGAATTACGAAGTGTGGAAACATCGTATTAGTAAATTGTTAACATCGATGGCGAACATCGAATTTTGAACTAAATTATCGATGTTTCAAAAACATCGATACATCGTTGGCATGCCTAAGCATGTAGTGCGCTTTGAAATTTAAGGTCGGTGTTACCGCAGAACTCCACAGGCGAACAGCGATGGCCTACCAACTGTCATTTTGACGAGCAATGTGATTGCAAGTTTTTGTGTGTGGGCACTTTGATGTCTTGAAATAAGCATTTGCCGCATGACGCCACCAGACAACATTCTCTCAATTTCGGTGTTTAAAAACATTTAAATCTTTAAAAAACTAGCTAAATAATTTCCTAAAACGTAATCATAAATTATCCAATACGGAACAGATTTTTATTTTGATTTAATATCAAAATTTCATCGATGTTACCACCAGCACGCTTTCTTTCAAATGAAAATATGGCTGTCAAACTATCGAATTGCCTGCAATAGATGTCAAGCAATAAGCGCTGACATATATTGCAGCACATGAGAAATAGGCGGTCTCCATTGGAAATATATTTTGTGACATAGTTTTCACGACATCAGTGTTTTCCTGTGGAGACAGGGCCTTATGCACAAATTTTGTTTGGCAAACTGCGTGCAATTGTTGTTGCAGCAAACTCGGAGAGAGCGAGTTTGGCGACTCACAGCAAACTAATTTTGTTTGGTCAAACTGCAGCAAATTCGGTGTTGTCATATACAAAAATTTTAAATTTTGCGCGTTATGTACATCTGAAATTCTCATTTCGTGTTGGCAATAGCCACGAAAACCATAATGAACGTGCAACCCTGTGCCAAACTCGACATAACCACCTCCGAGCAAACTAAGCAGCCGCCATTTAATTTGGCAAACAAAAGTTTGTCTGCATAACACCGACCTAATACGTAGGACTCAGTATTCTAATTTATTTACTTTTACGTGGTTACCTAGGTCTTTCTTGTGCTTGTGTAAATTTTTTCCGCTGCATCAGCAATTCGAGCTAATAAAATAAGTTATATGTACATATCTTCAACATGTCTGAAATGCGTATCCGTCCACGACAAGTACTCGTACTTATTATAGTGTTCCTTGTGATATTGCTGATGGTTCATCGTAATGGTAAACGCACATGCCAGGGTCCGGAGTTTTTACAGACCATGTACGCTCGGCATGTGGAAGGCACTTTACCAACAATTTATGCCATAACACCAACGTATGCACGGCCATCGCAAAAAGCTGAATTAACGAGGTATGTGTGTATGTTTGTACTTATGTTAATATGGATTTATTCAAGTACAAAAGTGGTTGAGAGCTACGCTATCCAAAATAGCCTTTGTTGTTTATTTTCTTGTAATTCGTAACGAGGTTTATTTACTTATACAGATTGTCTCATATTTTTATGCTTGTGCCCAACTTGCATTGGATCATCATTGAAGACGCTAATACAACTACGTCACTTGTGCGCAACTTGTTGACGCGTGCTGGTTTGGCGGAACGTTCAACACATCTCCACATTAAAACCCCGGTCAATTTTAAATTAAGAGGCAAAGATCCCAATTGGCTGAAACCACGTGGCGTTGAACAACGAAATTTGGCACTAAGTTGGATACGCACAAATGTAGATCCACAACGGCAAAGTGTATTATTTTTCATGGATGATGACAATTCTTACAGTGTTGAACTTTTTGCTGAAATGACAAAAATTGAAGCTGGCCGAGTTGGTATATGGCCAGTCGGTTTAGTAGGTGGTCTAATGGTGGAAAAACCATTACTCAATGCTGATAAAACCCAAGTTGTTGGCTTTAATGCTGCATGGCGGCCAGAACGACCATTTCCCATAGATATGGCGGCATTTGCCATTAGCACGGATTTGCTATTCAAATATCCACAGGCACAATTTGCTTATGAAGTGGAACGTGGCTACCAAGAAAGTGAGATTTTGCGACACATAACAACAAAACAACAACTTCAACCCTTAGCAAATAATTGTCGAGATGTACTGGTTTGGCATACGCGTACGGAGAAAACTAATTTGGCAGCTGAACTAAAATTAAATAAAGCAGGAAAACGATCAGATGAAGGCATGGAAGTTTAACATGAGAATGCAGTTGAAGAGACGGCAGTTATTAACCGAGTTTTGCCTGGTTTGATACGTATGTATGTATTGATATTTCGAATTTATACTGATTTATCAACGTACTTTTTTCAAACGAAACTAGATGAACATACATATACAATAACGTAAAGCCATTTAACAAAGGCATATCTAAAGAAAATGGTCGTGATATGATATAGATATGATATATTTAGCTAAGAAGTATACATATGTACATTATATATAAGTAGATAGGTATCTCAAAGTGCTTCCAAATATGTACATACATACATGTATGAATGCATTTTGTAGATTGGTACAATTACCAAATGGGAAATGATGATAAATAGTTTTATGGCAATCTAAAGTAAATATCAATTACTTTATATAGTGACAATAAGGGAATTTTAAATATTTAGAAATTTTCAAAATATGCATACGATATTAAATAAGTCTGCATTTTATGAAAAATTGTATGTAATATTTCCTTTTGCCACAAATGAGCTGCGCAATGTAAGATAATTGAAAATGGTAGCCATATGTCTGAACGTAGGTAGATAATGTCATTAATTTTCAAGAATGTACATATGTATTTATGGAATCCCAAAATCATATTTAATCAAAAAAGGAAACTAACGTAATTAATCTGGGTAACCAATCCGAATCTACTTACATAAACGCCGTTTTAGTGATTTACATAAGTATGTACCTAAAAAACAGTTAAAACTTGAATTTTTTTAAAACATATTTTTTCCCATAAAACAGAACACAGAAACCTGTAACATCCGCCAAAACTTCTTCTTCTTGACTATCTTTAACTGGAAAAATATAAAAAGACGGTTTTTTTTATTTTGCAATTTTTTTAGTTGTGACTGTTTTTGATTTAGGGTGCGATGTGTATGTACATATGTGCATTAGGGTGGTCCAAAACGGCCTGTTTCCACAAGCAAAAGTTTTTTCTACCAACTGTAATTTTTATTGCCTGATGTAAATTTTATCAGAGGTAATATTTGACGTGGGCATTTTTTATCTTGAAAAAGCATTTCTAAGACGGCTATTTCTGCCGGATTAATCACTTAAAAAATTTAAAAAATATGTAAACAGCTCAATTTTTTCTTTTATATTAAAATATCAATAATGTTGCCGCCACGCAGTTATCGCGCATATAAAAATGGAGCTGTCAAAGTACCAAATTGCTGGCAATATTTAGCAAGATAAAAATATTTAGAGAACGCTCAAACCGCTTAAAGTTTTCCATGTTTCTTATACGGGGAAAAAATTACTCTTCGTAGAAATGGTATAAAAATCTTGAAAATCAATATTTTTCGATCGGAAAACTCTGTTTTATTTTACCATTTTTAATACTGTTGTTTTTTACTTGTGCCTCCATTGCATTTTTGGGGGTTTCAGGGGTCCTATAAAAAAGTTAAATATTTAACATACTTTGTAATTAATAATTGCTTCAATTGCAAAAAATCACAATCGAATGTACATAGTGCAAGGATATTGCTATAATGCGATTTATTAACATGTATGTACATACTATGTACATATCTATTTTACTAATTGTATGTACATATCTACGTATATACTTGTTTAATTTACTTACATGCCCTCTTATGTTGGCTTTCCATGTAGTTTCAACTTTCTAAGAGCTACTAAAGAAGAATCTAACGATGCTGATTTTGTCTTTTCCTGAAATTTCTTTAAACATCATTTGAAGAAGATTGAGTTGATCTCTCGGAGATACAACTGATTGGTCAAGACTTTGACTAGCCGGGAGATATAGCTGCTCACTGAACTTTTCTTTAAATTCTGGAGAGTATTTCCGCATTAGAACGTCATATACCTGTTCTACCCCTATTTTTCCCCTTCCAGGTTTAGCCTGAGTGGTTGTTGAAGCTGTGTATACTTTTCCTTTGAGGGTCGCTTGTTGTACGGTCTCTTGCTTCACACACGCATTGATGTCCGCTATCTTGGTTTTCATATCTAGTATATTTGATTTTATATGCATACAATTCTTGTCCAGCTCCTTATGATTATCTTGAACCCCAGAGAGGTTATCTAGTTTCGAATCCATGGCATTCCATTCTCACATCTATATTGTCCAGTGGGTTATGAACACAATTAATCTCAGACATAATACCTTTATATATATTATTTAATCCATGTGTAATAGTATTGATAAAGTAATCGGACACATTCATATCAGACATGAGTCTAGATTCGCAAGTATACTACTATCATAATATATAGTTCCCAGATTTTCTAGTTGTTCTGTGTTTCTATGTATCTATTCCTCATCCACTTTAGATTCATGATGATCCAATTTTCTAATTGCGTCATCACCTGACGAGTTAATATCTGTATCATCTCGCATCTCTTTTTCGAACAGGACGAGGTCGTGCGTAATGTTTGGTTAAATATTTCGCTCTAAATTAACATTTTAGAGTACTTTTGGAAAGAGACCGGTAACCTTTATTTATTTGAATGGCATAGGTTGTATTTATTTACATTATCTATTTGCTTGTATTGCAACCTAACCGTGTACTTTCTATTTAGGTTTACACTTTAATCTTTTGCCTACCTTAGACGAGTTGTTAGTAAGATCGGTGTAGCGAGCTAATATTCTATGAAATAAATGATCCCCTGTCAAGGAAACGCTATAAGTATGTTAAACCAAAATCAACGCACTTGGTCTCGGAAGTAAAAGTTAACGAAGGCAAGGAAGCTCTTAGAAAGTAAATAGA